TCTCTCTCTCTCCTCCTCTCTCTCTCTCTCTCTCTCTCTCTCTCTCGTGTACGTTCTCTATTCCTTCTTCTTGCTTGCATTGCCTCTTTGCATCAGTTTGTTTTTGTCCATTTCACTCAATGCCGTAAATAGGCAATATATCGAAAACACTATCTAAAGCGACAAATACTTTACGCAGAAACGATAATAAATGTTAAACGCGCATCCGTGAAAGAAGGTTTCTGTTTTGACTTAAATCAAACTGAAATTGAGATTCGATTTTCTATCTGGGTAACGTCATTCTACTCATTATCCCAAATTGATCCCATGTTTAGCGATATACGCGTACAGAAAGTTCGTGCACCACCCGCACCGGAAATGTCTCTCGTCTGGACAAACCAGCGAGATGATATATTTGACAAATCCTCAAATCAAATCACAGAAAAAAAACGACGACGTCGTCGAAGAAAAAAGCTGCACTGACGACGCGGTCGGCAGGCTAGGTCGTACGTGCGATGTTTCACATGAGAGGTGGTGGCGAAACGCTTAGTCTTAGACGATGCTCGTCTCTGGCCTTGCCGCTTCACGAGCAAAAACCGCCGCGTTATGGCATCCGCCGAAATGCCGCCGATGCTTCCCGCGTGCAACGTTACAACTACCGCCCCGCTCTCAAATAATCGGACATCTGTCGGAGCCGGTCGCGGAGCGAGTAAGCGATACGAGCCGAACTGATGCCGTATTTTCGCAACAATCCGGATTCCGTTTCGTCCATAAAGTAGCACGTGCGTTTTTGCGCTCGCGCCGATGAGGAGGCAGCGGGCGAAAAACGCGCATGCTGCGTGTCGACAGTTCTCAGACGGCGAAGACAAAACGATGACAGCAGCACGGCAGCTGTTTGTAATGAAGATGTATTTAGTAGTGTGCGCGGCCGAGCGAAAGTCGTTCGCGACTCGGCGAGGTGAAAACATATCGCTAGGCCTACTGATCGACTCGTACACCCACCCGCCTCCCCGCCGCCCAGCCAAAACACTCGCAAATAATAAAACTGCATTCGAAAATTTGGTCATATGAAACCGATCCCGCGGATTATATATGTGCGCGCGACCCATTAGAAACAATGCATAAAGTTTATTGGTGAGGGCATGCGAAGTTGGAGTGACGTAAAAATATCCGACCGACGGCATAGCGGAACTTTTTTTGTATGCTATTCTCAACAACGCTATCACAGTCGGGATCTAACGCGGAATGGTTTCAGTGGAAACTGAGGCGCTAATGCCGATTGCCCATTGATTTTTAAATTACAGAATGGCAGCAACGACACGGCCTGGCGGCTAGGACAACCTCATTTAGTTTCGCATCCATACGAACTAAACGGGTATTACTATGACAGGTACGTACATTTCTAACGCAAGAAAATGGGATGCAATAGTGCGAAAAATAAATAGAGAAAATAAATAGCGAAAAATAAACGTGTAAAAGTAAAACACGTTTATGTGAAATTTATCTCAACGAGAAGGCGAAATATCTTCAGAAACATATCGAACATTTTAATTCTAGCAGCGGAAGTCTATATTTGCAGCGGACCATTTAATTTTTTCAAATTTCATAATATATGGTCTTTAATCAAACAGTAAAAACAAATGTGCCGAATAAATCGTAACGGTTTACGGGTACTAAATGCATGCAATAAACGCATAAATAAAATTATGAATAAATATAGACGCGAACAAAAACTAGCAATAATCAACATGCATGCGCAAAACAGACGCGGTCGTCGCGTGCAGTTCATGCTACTAGAGTTTCGCTACAGATCAGTCGTTGTGTTGCATGTGTTGTTGTTGTATGTTGTTGTGTATGTTGTGTTGTATGTGTTGTTGTTGTATGTTGTTGTGTATGGTGTGTTGTATGTTGTTGTGTATGTTGTGTTGTATGTGTTGTTGTTGTATGTTGTTGTGTATGGTGTGTTGTATGTTGTTGTGTATGTTGTGTTGTATGTGTTATTGTTGTATTTTGTTGTGTATGTTGCGTTGTATGCGTTGTTGTTGTATGTTGTTGTGTATGTTGTGTTGTATGTTGTTGTGTATGTTGTGTTGTATGTGTTGTTATGTATGTTGTGTTGTATGTGTTGTTGTTGTATGTTGTTGTATGTGTTGTTGTGTATGTTGTGTTGTATGTGTTGTTGTGTATGTTGTGTTGTATGTGTTCTTGTGTATGTTGTGTTGTATGTGTTGTTGTTGTTGTTGTTGTTGTATGTTGTGTTGTATGTGTTGTTGTTGTATGTTGTTGTATGTGTTGTTGTGTATGTTGTGTTGTATGTGTTGTTGTGTATGTTGTGTTGTATGTGTTCTTGTGTATGTTGTGTTGTATGTGTTGTTGTTGTTGTTGTTGTTGTTGTTGTTGTTGTTGTTGATTGTAGGTATGTTCACCGGGGTATGTTGTTGTACATGTTGTGTTGTATGTGTTGTTGTTGTATGTTGTTGTGTATTTTGTGTTGTATGTGTTTACAGTAACGGCATCAGGAGAAAGAACGTTACACGGGAAGCGTCGGGCGCTCTGAAGGCGTGGATGCGAGAACACATCAAGAATCCGTACCCGACAAAGGGAGAAAAAATCATGCTGGCCGTCATCTCGAGAATGACGCTGACGCAAGTGTCGACGTGGTTCGCGAACGCGCGACGCAGGCTGAAGAAGGACACGAAATTCATGAGCAAGGATGCGCCGACAGACGAGCACAGCGAGGACGAAGAAGAGGAGGAGGAAGAGGTGGTGGGCGAAAATCACGAGATAAACGTAGACGAGCGGGGGGAAGAGGAAGAGGAGGAGGAGGAGGATGAGGAGGCGGTGGGCGAAAACAAAGGTTAGTTTTGGCGGATTTTGTTCTACAATCGGTTTAGAATGGCGTCATTCCATTCATTCCACTATACGACCGTTGATGTATGTGGGCACCTCGTAAATACGCGAGCGCCATAACTCTAATACGTTGCAATATAATCGTCGCGGCTTAGGTGATTACGAAAATTGCGCATGCGCGCGCACACTACTCTAATGGCCGCCATAAAACGTAGCGAAACGTACAATGTTTAGCGTTCGAATCACGGCTAACGTGTTAACACGTTAAGTTTGCGTGTATCGAGTTGCCGAAGTCTGAAATGTGGTCACACAAGCCTGATGTGCATGAGAGCACCGGCTTACACGCATCGCGTCCGATACCAGACACCTATCATCCAGTTTATCATTCCGCGCGATGTACCTTGTATCTGCAATTACATCTCTAGCCACTAATTGCGTCTCGGTTCTGCCAAGGCGGGTCCAGCGATCTGTGAAAATTGTTTGACGCGTTAAAATGTTGCCGGCATAATCCATTGTGTCGTCTCAATGAGCCGTAACTATGCGGCGTTGCTATAAATCTCGGTCACTTGACATACGAAGTCGTAGGCTGTCGGGTGAATACCAGCGCGGCAAGTCGGCGGCCATTTGACGGGTTCGATGTTTCGTTATTATAACGCGTCGCGGAAGAATTTTGCAGCGTAACCCTAATAACCGCCACGGCCGCGGAGCAAATGCGTCGACGAAACGGCGAAGTGCGGATGAGCTGCAAATTGATAGTTTACCTGAATAATTCTGGACGATTCTTGGTAGATTATTGGAGATAAGATATTTATATTAACTCAGCAGTAAATTTTCAGCATGCTACACTCCTGCGGCTATACGCGCACACGACTACGCGCACACGACTACGCGCACGCGACTACACGCACACGCTACGCGCACACGACTACGTACACGTGACTACACGCACACGACTACACGCACACGACTACACGCACACGACTACGTACACACGACTACGCGCACGCGACTACACGCACACGCTACGCGCACACGACTACGCGCACACGACTACACACACGCGACTACACGCACGCGACTACACGCACACGACTACGCGCACACGACTACACGCACACGACTACACGCACACGACTACGTACACACGATTACACGCACGCGACTACGCGCACACGACTACGAGCACACGACTACACGCACACGACTACGTGCACACGACTACGTACACGCGACTACACGCACACGACTACGTACACACGATTACACGCACGCGACTACGCGCACACGACTACACGCACACGACTACACGCACACGACTACACGCACACGCGACTACGCGCACACGACTACACGCACACGACTACGTACACACGCTACGCGCACACGACTACACGCACACGACTACACGCACACGACTACGTACACGCGACTACGCGCACACGACTACACGCACACGACTACACGCACGCGACTACACGCACGCGACTACGCGCACACGACTACACGCGCACGAAGCACTACATGGTCACCTCTAGTGATACGCCCGAAGACCTCCCCATTCAGTTATGCGATTTTCTTTTCGCTTCTATGCAGATCCGGCTTCCTTCATCGACATAATCGGTTGTGGAGAGGAGATAACCCATGGCGACAGTAACGCACGTCTATCGAACACCACCGTAACAGCCTATCGCTCTCTGAACGCACCAGACCACCCCGAAGCGCAACAGAAACGCTCGCCCGTGCAGACGAATAGCGCAACGAAACCAAAGATTTGGTCGCTGGCCGAAACGGCAACATCGACAAGTAGCGCAACCGGACCGTCGGTCATGCACGCAGCAGCGTACGTTTCCTCGCCGGCCATGATGGCGTCTGGAATCTGCGACTTTCGGTCGATGGCTATGATGCCCAACATGCCGGCGGCTGCGTTCGTGGCCGGATATCCGCGCGTGGGGATCATGCCTCTGACGTCAGTGATGTCTCGCGGCAGTGCGGAGCCTTTGGCGGTAGCGAGAACCGCGACGTGGACTCCTCAGAGTTCAGCCAAAGGTGGCTGCTCCTCTTCGCTGTCTGCGTTCTCGCTGGCGTCGTCATCGTTGTCGTCATCGTTGTCGTCGTCATCGCTGTCGTCGTCGTTGTCGTTATCCGGCAAAGCGACGAAAAACGGCGACAACTTTGAGAAGATTTCTGTGGGCCCTTCTTGATAACGAGTTTCGTGATAAGTAGATGGTGATAGTACGTACGTAGACTAAGACACAACTGGAAAAGGGAACTGAAACTGAAATGCTTGGAAAACGATGTTACGTCGTCGCCATCTTTAATGGCGTCCAGCGATTGTAGATGTGTCAGAGGTAAACGAAATGCGATCACCGGGGTCTTTAATATTACTAGCTTTCTATTTGGGTAACCAGCAACTGAGGAAAACTAGTAGGACCGCATTCTTCATGTCTGTAGATATAATTATATAGAACATGCGCGCTGCATTGATGTTACGAGTTAATTTCCGTACACAGGGCACATGGTCTCTGTTACAATATTGCCAATTTATATTCGTTGTTACGATTATAGAGTATTGATATATATCATCGGAAGACAAATATATTATCGCTTAAATCATAGAATCCGATTTTCATGATAACGACGTCCATAGATTCGGGAATATCCGACATATTCAATATTCATATATTCGGGAATATCTCAACTATCTGTGCAGATACTATGAGTTTAGCCCAACCGCAGCAGTCTGGTTTGCCCGTCTCGCTGAGATCCATGTTGTAAATAAAGTTATTTTTAAACCATCATCCATAAGAGACGTTATGTAAATTTGAAATAGGAACCTGTATGTACATATAATATATATATATTTGTGTGGCTTCGCACATGCGCGCGTGAGTGCATGTCTGTGTACTGTAAATGTAATGCCATGGAATGTAATATAATTTATAATGCACACACTATTTGTACTTTCGCTATAATAACATAAACATACGTTTTAACATAAACTAATGACCAATTGCAGTGCTATTAATGATCTCGAATGTTTAAATCTCACTGTGTGTGCACACTTCATACAGTGTGTCTATCAACTACTCACTACGAAAAGCCCAGTTCAAGGTTGACATCCCTATATTATTGCACCGTATAATTGTACGGGGCTGGATATGGTGTAAGGTTAATGGCAGATGCACGCTTGATGCACGATGACATCTCCAATTTCCTCCCCAACCTCATTGCAATCGGCTCAAATCTGATTGCTTATTATTCGGTATTTATTTAATCTGACTGCATCTGCAGGTGCGGAGGGCGAGCAAGAATGTTCAGCCATGCATGTGCATGCTTCGACCGCTTTAGTAAGCGTAGCTGACAACACATATTAACTATCATTCGCCCTGTAAGATCAAGGGGCGTCAATCGACGGTTTTGCTGACGCATGTACCGTGTTGTGTCGCCGCGGTTCGCTACAAAATGCACAAGATAGATCAGAGTGAAGAGAGAGAGAAAGAGAGAGAGAGAGAGAGAGAGAGAGAGAGAGAGAGATACGGTGAGTGGGAGAGAGCGAGAGAGAGTGATGATGAAGAGAAGTTGATGAGACGAGAGTGAGAGAAAGAGAGAAAGAGAGAAAGAGAGAAAAGGGAAGAGAGAGAGAGGGAGAGAGAGAGAAAGAGAGAGAGAGAGAGAGAGAGAGAAAAGAGAAGAGAGAGAGAGGGAGAGAGAGAGAAAGAGAGAGAGAGAG